CGTCTAACATGTGGGCCTGTACAGCGCTATCAGATCAGGCCTGTCCCGGATAGACCTGAACGATTTCAGGCCCGCCCATAAATGATAGTCAAAATGTCACATGGTTTGGTTGGAGTGGACCTAAGAATCATTTCGAGGCCCAAATGCCTAAAGTTTGCCGGCAGCCCACCACACAGCGAAAGGTATTAGATAAGAGGACCCCCTAAAGTTCAATCCACATTATTATGGCAGTCTAAGAAGAAAAGAACAACATGATAGACAACCATTTAGTCCAAAAAGCGACGAAATTTCCTTTCTTTTTGAGTGGAAAGTTAATCATTACATAAAATATATTTTACCCCCTATTCTATTAGCAATTTGGAGGATAACATATTCTACAATAATGCCATGACTTGAACGCAACATTCTTTTTACTCACAAATAAACAGAGTAAAATGACCACTGATGGACAAGACAATGAAAACAAATTATGACTAAAAATTCTTTTGACAATTTACTTGACCACGGATGTTTTGAGGGTATCTTTCCCATTAAAGTCAAGTAATATCATGAAATAATTTATTTGCACCATATTAGTTTTCTTTAATTTAATTAAAAATAAATTATTTATGTTAAAATTTAAAAATTAAAAAAAAATTATTATCATAAAATATCAAATTATGATCAATAAATTAAAAGAGTAAATCAATAAATTTCTTACCAATTAAACTATTATTTTTTTTATTAATGTCATTTTTTACTTTTTAAGTCGAGATAAATTGTTTGAACTTGTAGTGAGAAAAGAAAAATACAAATTCAAACCCTCGCAATAAAGATAAAATTGCAAAAGTCTTATACTAGCGACAAAATTTCCTTAAGTGGTGTATTGATAACAAGACCAAAACCCTTGATGGACGGTTTTCTTAACTTAAATATATATTGATTGGTATAAGATTTAAGTAAAAAAATGAAGAACCCTAGCTTAAGAAACAATGAAATTTTATTTTATTGGGCTTAATAGGTTGGAAGTCAATCATTACCCAACATTTTTTTCTCAGTTTATTGTCTGGTTATATGACTTAAATACAACATCTCTAAACTTGATCAAGGGAAATGATTCTTATATAGTTTTTTATTTTATATTTTTTATAATTTAACATGTTATTAAAATAATTAATTTTTTTAATTTATATAAAATTTATGATATTAAATATATCAATTTATTTAATGATATATAAAAAATATATAAAAAATAATATAAAAAAATTTATTTCTATAACACTACCCTTCAATTAAATAAGATTACCATCAAACAATTACATCATCTATTGAAAAAAACAACCATACTTATAAAAATATTCAGCCTATATTAAAAACCCATGGATTTGGAGCGTTGACACCATTGTTTACATGTTCTTCCACAACTGAGAGATGGCCCTGGCCGTCTCCATCAACGACCCATTCTCACCCCATTTTTCTGCGGGTAGCAAGCCCATTGCAATTTTATTGACGGGACGCCCATGCCAATGAACTTAGGTTTCTTGGTCAAATACCACTAATTCACTCCGCATAAATTACACTTCCCACTGACGAAATTTAGGACCTACTTACAAGTCAAGTCCATCATTGTCCTGATTTAAAATTTTTAAGAAACTTTGGACGCTAATTAAATTTAAAATATCCTTATACCCTTTCAATTCAAGATCATGGACGTGTCACTATTTCCCTTTCTTTTCCCTTTCTTTTTTTATTCGCAAATAATGGGAAAGATAATGAGATTTTTTTTAACATTTGATGTTAAATTACATAAAAAAAATAATAATTTTTTATTCAAATTTTTTTATTTAATTTAAAATTTGAATATAAAAATTTTAAATTTTTAAGTAATTAAATCACCCATTAAAGTAATATTGAAATTATTGACTTGTCTCTATTCTCATCCTATGCTTTAGGATAAACACAAGGGTGTACTGCTTCAATAATCTCCAGAGTTCACTAATTTTTTAAAACCCAAGATTCTTTCTAATCTTAAATCTGTTCAGCTGATTGATGGGTACACTTTTTAAATTCGCAACTTTAATTCAATCCCCATTCGTTTGTTTTTTTTTTTTCAAGAAAAAAAATGTAACATTTGCTGATAAAAAGAATAATTTAACATTAATGGTGAAATCCTTAAAAAAAAAATTGCCTTCTTTTTTTTTTTGAATATTTTTATCATGGGATCGACTCGAACCATTATCCTGAAGAAGGGAAACATGAAATTTACAAACGTGACTAGAGTCACTTGACCTCGAAAGCCAAATTCAAGTGCCTTTTTTTTTTTTTTTTGTAAGGCATAATTACATGATCTTCAGCCACCGACCCAAATTAATGAAAGATTGGGTTGGTTTTAATATCGTACTTAATAATCTTGGGTCTTGTTGTACTTTACGCACCAGGTTTCAGACAGAATTCCATTTAACAAGGGCCGAGAAGATATGTTACGTCCAACTCCAATCAGATTTACGAACGAGTTTGTCTGAAAATGACAATGTCATTTACTCCTATAAATAAGAATATCTCATGACCACTAAACTCCTGATTGATCCAAGTGGGCATTGTAATTTAGACAAAGGGTTTGTGGATAAGTAGCAATCACCGAGTAATAATTGTAATAATTTTTAAAAAAATATATAAAATTTTAAAT